TTTTGATGCACAATCTATGTAAACAAATATTTTTGGAGGAAAGGTGCTGATGGCCCTGGTAGAAATTTTGCATAAAGAAGAGGATATTCTAGAAGCAGATAGAATCAGACGGAGAGTCGTTAACACGACTAATCAACTTGACACTAAGTACTACCTACTTCGCATTCAATGGCAACATCTATAAAGAGAAATTTGGACTTCCTATGGGATCACCTCTTTCACCCCTATTGGCAAATGTACATATGGACAAATTAGAAGAGAATTTCAAGACGTCAACGCTGCAACTAAAAGTTTTTATGCGGTACCTGGATGACTACTTTGCAATACGGTCGCACGGAAGATAAAAATTGAAAGATTCCCTTAAGTTTATGTACGGAATGATGAAAGAATCAAGTTAACAATGGATATAGAGGAAAAGAGGCGTTTCGCTTTTCTAGATGTGGAGATCATTCGCTGTACTTGGACACTCAAGAGAAAAGTGTACCGGAAGAAGTCATATGCCGGAATAATACTCATTTTCGAATCTCATCACAACTACAGAATGAATATAGAGATACTGAGGAGCATGAGTATTAAAAGCCTACGATTAACGGACGTGAAATTCTGGGTTGAAGAATAGGAAAAAATGACTCGGATATTCCTCGGTAATGGATATCCTAGAGAAGTAATTCAAAGAAACATATTGGCCGTGAAGAACCGATGTCAGGACGGTGATTATAAAAAAAAGATAAAGATGGAGGAAGACTCACAAAAGTGAATGTGTCTATCTTCCTGTGAACTAGCTCAAAAATTACGGCTAATATTGAGAAAATTAAATATTCAGGTGACCAAGAAGAAAAGAAACAATACTCTTCCCAAGTCTATTAATGCAACATGGGAGAGTAGACAAAGTGGATTGCTCGGAAAGTTACTGCAGAGCATGCGGCGCCTGCGAACATAAATGTATTCGCATCTTCCTTTTGCGTATACACACTGATAAACAGGAACGGATAAGGATTAATAGCTATGTCATTGTTATCCCGATAATAACAAGTAGCATCGGGAGGATAAGCATTATTTAGTCTTTCTCAATTGCCTTTAATGACTCAGCCCTTCAATTTCAAACCTTAATATTATCAGAACTTTTGATACCAACTAATTACCATTTGCATAAAACACCCAATTCGCCTGAATAATGAACACTATACTTTAGGCCTCACAAGCACAAGAGAGATAAGCAAAATAAATCTCTAAATGAATATACACTTAAGTAGGAGTACAACTGTATAAGTAATGCATAAATAAGCATAATTTTCATGTGTTTAACATAGGATTTTGAATGTGGAGATAGGTAAAGTAGAGGAGGTTAGAAAAAAGGCCAGTAAGGGAATATGAAATGAAGATAGTGAGAGTCTCACTGAAATGAAAGAAGACTAAGAGAGCATCAATAGTCCCATAGCATTAGCAGATCTAGCATTAAGTTCAAGCCAATTTACTGTGGACCAGATGGACACATTTTGGAGTTCGACATGCTGGTATGAGAAAATTGTATACACATTTTCTACAAGGTATCATTAGGTTTTTGGATATAAGGCCAATTTTCAACTAAGAGTGGCGACATTTCATGTGTCAAGACTTTCGCCTTCCTCCGTCTCTTGCAGCTCCAAATATTTAATTGGATGTACTGAATTCATATAATCCAAGAGATTATGACTTCGCCTATCGAATATTTGTCCTCAATTGACGTGCATTTGCATCGATTACTTAAATGATGCCCGTTTATTTATATATCTATTGAATTTTTATTAAATGTAGCACCCACATACAAAACTCTTCTGATAGTCAATCATAATTTTATCGGAAAAATAAAAAGACCTCCTATGAATAAATTCGGCTATGCAAGCAGAATTATTGTTCAGGATCAGATGACCTAAATTGATCTCACTACTTATAATGCTTACCACGCTAGATCAAGCAAACAGATATATCAAGCGCCACAAACAGAATATATGAATCTTAAAACACGATGCTAACAACTACGAAACAGCTAGCCGTTTAAATCCCTCCAATATATCACCCCAAGGACAAAAAGCAAGGTTTTTGGCAAAGTAATTAAGGGAATGCTAAAATTGGCTATAAGGCAAATGGGTAAATGAGTTCACACGAATTGCATAAGATCAGCAAAGATATAAAATAAGCAATTAATAAAGGTCTTTTAGACACAAATAAGGAACTAAAGGGATACAAAATGCCTCTGTTTTAAGGCAAATATTCATAGATGGCTCAAGAAATAGTAAACAAAATAATATAACATATCTGAAATCTGAGCTGAACAATTAAAAGTCGTATTTTTGAACAAATATTTCATTAGATGAGTAGGAGATGCGTTAGAAGACAAGATACATATAGTAGGGATATTTTTACCTCTGAGGTCAGCCGAGCCAGAAGGTCACTTTGATCTTGTCTCCTGTTGGCCAGAATCTTATCGAGGTGCTTATCAGCATCCAACTGGTCACAGGCGATCCGTGCTACAGCCGACTGGTGTTCTAGAAAACGTCTTTGAAGTGCCTGCTCAGAGGCGAGGAGTATGTCCTTCATGTCATCTAGGGAAGACAGGGAATACAATACTTAAAGAAGAAAGGATTTCTAGTATAAGATTTCTAGGCTATCAAAAGATCTTGAATTAGATATTTAGTCACCCTGGTCTTCTTAAAGAGGTGAAGGACTAGCACTCAAGTCTCTAAAAATGAGAATAATAGGCCTAACGATGCCATTGAATCTCACTAAGCCTTGCTTCTCAAAAGGTATTCTCAATCAGTACGTTTACAATTTCGAACTCGGGTAGTGCAACATGTAATCACTACGTCAAATGACGACGGGTACCAATCGGTCACGGGGTAAAAGTGCAAGCTGGGCCTTTGCCATACACATTTTTGTAGTGATAATGTTGTCGAATCAAACATGAATTTGACACTACGGTCGACAACGTTACGTGTATTCAAATTGAGTATGGTTCCGAGATTTACAGAAGAGATTCGAAGGTCGGTTTCACCAGAAAACGACGGCGGATACCTCTTGACCAGCTGTTGATTGGCTTTACAGGAAGATTCATGCTGACATTGTTTCCGAGGTAATCTCCTTCGATTCCGGTGAAAAGGTGCTAAGCTTTCGTCGATCATATGACCAGAGCAAGGCATCATCGTCACTGAAGGATAGAGAGGGAGTTGAGATGCCTGCAAAAATGAGGCAACGCAACTAGTCTT